ATTTGGAAGGACTTATGTAGTGAGTTCGAGATCATGTAAAACCAAAAAGTCACCTAGCCCTGAAAGGCAGCAAAACCATCTCATTCAAACCTTCTTCTCAGATTCTGGGAGGAAAGGGTATGATTGAGGCCACCTTGAGATTACCTGTAAGACCAGGTTACTCACAGGAGTGGATGTTGGAAGTAAACAGAACCAACTTTTAGAGTGTCTCTGGCTCCATAGAGACAATAGTTTGATCAGGAGAAAGGGCCACCAGACTAATTCTTCACACCACTGGGGTTGGGTACCTTGATGCTGTGAGGTGGGGAGGAACAACCTTCCATAGTGAGAAGCCTAGCTTTTTAAGAAGCTGATTTGTGTTTTCCTTCCAGGCCTTCTGGTTGCCCACCATTGATGACTGATCCTGACACTGCTCGGCTATTTGTACAGTGAGGGCGGCCAACAGGAAAGTCAGAGGTGACTGAGATGACAGAGGGATTGACTGGACTGGAGAACATCTTTCCACATGGCCTTCCCAGGGATGTGCTGTCCATCGCGCTAAAGAATTGCTTTGCTGAGCACCTTCCAAAGGACTCTTGGTGTTGCAGCTGCACCGAGCTCTTCAGAGGGTGATTACTTAGAAATAAGTTACAGTGGGGCCCTTGGGCCCCTTCAGTTTTGAATATATTTGCTGTTGAAGAGCCAGTGATGTCACCAATCTCCGCACATCCTTCTCCCACCCCAAAATGCATGGGAAGCCACAGTTCTGGTTTTGAGATGCTAGGGCAGCTCAGCACCCCTTGCCCTCACCCTGCATGTCTTGTTACTGGATCTCCCTGTGTAATTGTGGCATTATTCCACAACCATCATGTTTCGTAGGTGCCAAATATTTACAAAAATAAGTCTTCATATACCTTTGAGTCAAAGAAAGAAAGGGACAAATAGAGAAGGACCTTGTTTGTCAGGAGGCTTTACAGTATTCCTGTGGGGCAGGTCGTGGGCTTGGATGTTGGCTAACAAAAGGCCCAAGAGTATGAAAGGGAGGGAAGGGAGTAGTAGCAGGTAAATGTAAATTCTGAGAGCTGAGAGCTTTAGCCGCCTGGTGCAATTCCCCATCCAGACAGTCTCTCAGTCTTTTCGTGGGGATCCTACCGAGCTGGGCTTGTACAAAAGCAAGGTAGTAGTTTATTTTTGTACCTGAGTCACATCACGTTTTCCTGTGGGCCAGTATTGTGGAATGAGTCTGAGTTGTTTACACTGATGCCTTCCTTCCCTGCCCACCATAAATTGTGTACATAGTCAGCAGATGATATCCCTCTTCCCCAGCTCTTACCCAAGAGCTGGCTCTAGGCCTGTGTTATATGTTATATTTAGCCTTTTTATATATGACCCTTGATCTGTTTGTATTTGAGCACAGTGTGCGTGTCCACTTAAATACATTTGTGCAAACATGCACATAAGTATGTGATATGCCTACTATCTCTCTCTTCTAGCTTATCAAGAGTTCATCAGGAGAGGGAACCCTGCAGCTAAAAAAGACTATTTGTGGGTAGTGTTCGCCACAAGTGTTAGTCTTCTCTGTTAACCTTAGGGAGACAACATGAAGCAGAGCTTCTAGTGTTTGCTGTTCCATGGCAGCTAAGTAAGAGCCTTGGGATGACTCCCGTGCTCTTCAAGCCACACTTCGGGGCCCTCTCTACAGTGTTAGCATCTTTTTTGCCTGACTATGCTCTGTCTGCACCTGTATATGTGTGACAGTCACTTTTGCATGGCTTCTGTGCCTGGCTTGTGGCATTTGGGGACAGGGTGCTAGAGCCGCAGTGTTTAGTTTGTCAGGACTTCTCACCTGTTTGTCTACATCATTGCCCGTTCCTCTGAGAACAGGCTAGGACCAGACTGAGAAGAGCGCGACTGACCTTTTCTTCCCAGTATGTCCACAGCAAACATTTAGGCAAGCAGTACCCCTGCAGATCCAGAAATCAAGACCTAATCAGCTATGATTTGCCCATGAGTACCCAGCTGCTAGGTGTCAATCAGGCTATCACTGTTTCTGTTCAGGAGCAGACATAGACTTCAAATCACTAATGCTATTTTTTGAGCAATTACTTTTTGACTTGTTATTCCAACTGAAAAGGCGGCTATCTTCACTGAAGTCTTAAGTGTTGCTGAGCAGTCCTGCCTTTCCAGAGTGGACAGACTATAGGAACCAGGTGATCCGAGTTATTACTGCCTACCTTCAGAATCTGAGTCCATGTTTAGATAAACTGTTGAGAGCAAATATCTGTAACCATGGATTAGCAAGACTGCATAACCTGAAAGAGTTAAGAAAGAGCAGCCTGCCTGGCCGCAGGAAGACTGAGTTCAGGAGAATCCGAAGCTGAGGCACTGTGCTCTTGGAAGACATACTGCCTCACAGCCACTGCTGGGCCCTGTGGCAGCAGAGCTGAGTTCTGATTGGTAGGAGAAGATGCAACTGGAACTGATAATACTGTATGTTGTCACAGGGTAAGCAAGAGGGAGAAAGCAGAGTTGGCAGTTTGGGGGTATACCCCTGGGATATAGTAACTGTCCTCTGGAAAATCAGCCAGAGCCACTGCTCTGTGTGTGACAACTGACACTGTTCAACCACCAGCCACTGGGGTATTTTTTAATAAGTTGTTCCCCATTGTAACTGATAATAAACTGCTTATGAAGGAAAATTTGGGGATTTTTAAGAACCAATTTGCCACCCAAATGGTACCACTGTTAATCTTGATGTTAACGTTCTTCTAGATATCTCTGTGCATAGACTTTGATGTGTTTACATAGTTGTTATCCTACTGTATATACAATTTTATGTCCCTTTTGTACTTAACATAAACTTTTTTTTTTTTTGCCATGTTACCAGTCTTAAACAGAATTTTATGGCTTACAGTCTCTTGAGTTTCTGTGACATAATTTGCCTGCTTCACATCAGAAGGGATGCGCTGTTCGAGTGTTCTGGCTCAGGTGGCACTGCCTGCTGTGTTGTGTGAACTGTTGGGCTTCCTTCAGGCCTGTGAGCCACAGGAGCCCCTTGGGCCCATCCCTTAACCTCAGACTCCAATTAAATTACCACAGGGCCAGTAATGAATGACTGGAGGAGGTGAGCCTGACCAACCCTGTTCTTCAGAGACCTCCTCACTATCTGCCTTGCACTGTTTACCTCAAACTTTGACCAGATTGGCATCCTAGGGCCCTGATTGATGGAAAGTGATCATTGCATTTGGCAGGATCAGCTGGCTGCCTGGTGAGCCACCTGCTTGGGTAATACATTGGGAATCGTTGTCACTTGACCTGCTTTCTGCTTCCCTGACTGAACCAGAATAGGTAAAAGTCTGGCTTGCTACTTTGGAAGAAAATGGCTTGGTTTAGTTGACCAGGCTCTCCTACTGAGTCTACTCTAAAAGACCCCTCAAAGCCAGCAAGTATCCAGCAAGATGGATCAGTAACTGAAAGTCCTTACCACATAAGCATGACAACCTGAGTTCAGTCCCCAGATCGATCCCATGGGTTCAGTCCCCAGATCGATCCCATGGTAGAAGCCACTTCCTGAAACTTGTCCGTAAGATTGCCACACATCATGGCATGTGCACACAAAACTCACAAATGTAATGAAAGCCCACTGCGGCAGCTACTCCAACATCTTTGCTATGTAGAGACCTGATATGCCCAATCCCTTGTAGTGTGTGAACAAGAGGAACAGACATAGGTTGTGGGGGTGAGCTGGCTCAGCAGTTGGTGTGGGCAAGAGGCAGGCACAGGATGTTGCCTGCACTTTGCTGAGAGGATGTGGAGGGATGTACTAAAGAAAGAGGAAGCCAATTCAGCAGCCTTATACAGTGACACCAGCATCTGCCAGCTACCTGTCAGGCTCAGGGGGGGCAGTTGAGGGTCTGTTTATGTGTTACACAGGAAGTGGGAAATGCCAATATGTCTGTCTTGTCTTCCTTGGATAATATACAGGAAATGAAATCTAAGATGAGGAAATGGGTCTGAGCATCCCAGGCAAGTTAACTACACAAGTTTTGTAACTGCAGTCTAGAGCTGTGTGTTACTTGAAGCCCCTTGGTTGTGATATTAGGAGTCAGGTAAAGCTCATGTAATGGCTACTGTATTTCAACAGATAATTCTGAACCTCAGTAAGTTTTAGATGGAGACAGAATTTGGTTTGGTTTATTGAGACAGGGTTTCCCTGTAACAGAACAGCCCTGGCTGTCTTTGTTATTTTTTTGAGACAGGGTTTGTGTTGCTTTGGAACCTGTCTTGGAGATAGCTCTGTAGACCAGGCTGGCCTCAAACTCAGAGATCCACCTGCCTCCGCCTCCTGAGTGCTGAGATTAAAGGCATATGCTACCACTACCCAGCTTCCCTGCTGTCTTGGAACTCAATTTGTAGACCAGGCTGGCCTTGAACTCACAGAGATCCTCTTGCTTCCCAAGTACTGCAATTCAAGGCATACACCACCACCACCCAGCCTGGACTGGAAAGTCTTAGGGGAGATGAGTGAAGTTTCATTAAGCAGCCTTATATAAAACCCTTACTAACTCAAAATGTGAAGCACCAGGTCACTCAGAAATAAGTGAGGAATCTGGTAATGGTCTGCACCTGTAATCTCAGTATTTAGACTGAGGGAGAGGGTGAGACAGGCCAACTCAGGCTACCTAAGTTTCAGACCAGCCTGGCCTACATAGTGAGAAACCAGTCACTCTGGAGGCAGAAGCCTCTAGAGACTACAAACAGTTTTAGGATTGCCAAGGCTTATAGTGAAACTCTTGCAAAACAAGAGTGGGAAGGCAGCCCTTCTGGCACCTATAATCCAGAGTTCACAGGTATAAAATGCCTTTTCATTCTCTAGCAACAATGAGGGATCTGAGCATGGGCAACAAGTCCTGATTATACATAAGCTTGCATGGTAGAACTAAAAGGAATCCACTGAGAGGCCACAAGAAGTGGCAAGATGTGTCGACCAAAGCTGTGTGAGCAATTCATAATTCACAAGGGCTCTTTTACATACAAACATTTAATACCAGAGACTGGCTGAGTTCCTGCAAGGAAAGCTACAGGTGGCCAATGCTGGGGGTAGAGGTGAGTGAATCCTTGGAGGCTGGGCAGGGTGAGAGCAGCAGAGGGGGTGGGGACAATGCTAGGTGACTAAACTTGGGTTAGAAACAAGAACTGGATAGCTGAGAAGTAGATGTACTTGGCATAAGATCTGGGGAAACAGAACAGACACTGTTGGCATAGATATAGGGTAGGCCTGGGGATTGGTGAAAAGCAACCAGATTGGCAGCCAGGCTCCAGGCAGTGACAATTGGCATAGCCAACTCTGGAAGCTTCTCACCCTGTTTTTGCTCTTCCAACTTTATCTGGGACATGTGCCCTTCATGAGTAGAGAGCAGGACAGGACCAGAACTGGTCTCACGAGCTATCTTCAAGATGGCTGGTCCAGCCAGGCATAGTGGTGCATGCCAGCGCTCAGGAGGCAGAGGCAAGTGATCTCTGTGAATTCAAGACCAACCTGGTCTACATAACAAGTTCCAGAACAGTCGGAACTACATAATAGAGACCCTATATTTAAAAAAAAGTTAAGATAGTTGATGCAGCAGATGTGAAGACTGCCCAGAGATTTCAAGAAGGCACCCGTGTTAATGGGTGGTTAAATGGATGACCTGACATTCATGGGTTAGAACCAAATGAGTTTGCTGCCTGCTCCCCAAAGCATCTTAGTACCCTAAACCCTTTAGGCTACTGAGGAGCCAATAGACACCATATGTTGCTGCCAGAAGGAATGTTAACCATTGCAGAAGGTAGAGTCTGGTAGGCTAGGCTCGACACTCACTGCTGTCTTTGAAACAGTTAAGGCAGAAAGCAAGAGCACTGAGCTGTGGTTGGGGACAGGTCAGACAGGGTCCACTCTTAGCCACAGTGGATGTCCAGTATGTCCAGACTGTGCTGGTCCTGAAGAGGTCATAGAGTGCAAGTATCTGAAGCCTCAGTGGCCACCACTCCCTTGGCCTGGGCTGTGCAAAGGAATCACGAACACAGAGACGTCATCGTAGGACACCTGCCCTTCTCCAGTAGCACCATCGTCCTTCCCCTGTGTGTTGTGTATCAGCACTTTCGCCAACTCTGAGAACCTGTAAAGACCAGATGTACTTTGGGGATAGAGCAGAAGGCCAAAGCCAGCCCTCCAGAACTCAGTGCACAAGACATAGAACGCCCAGAAGACCCCTTGCGGTGCAACCTTAAGACAATCAGCAAGCCTGAAAGGGCCACAAACTAGATTATGAGACTAGACTTAAATTTTTTTGCTCATATCCCCTCTCCCTTGGGACACTTGAGACCTTTATCAGGCCACCTCCCCTGAGTTAGTACTGTCTTTGCAGCTGTAGCTACTTGGACTAACCCAGGTCCAGTCAGGTCCCCCTCAGCTACAGTACCTATGTGGGTCCTCTCGGTTCCCAGTGAGGAAGCTCCGCACAAGCCGTGCCACCTGCTCGTTGGACAGGACATCCCAGAGCCCATCAGTTGCCATGACAACCACATCCTCCTCTTGCAATGCCAGCTGGTCCACATCCAACACAGTCACCTGCAAGTTAAGCCTGAAGATCCTCCAATGCTCCCTTCCCAGTTCCTACCAGGTTCATTCTCTGCCCTTTGTGGGCAGTTGGAACCTGGAATGGGCTACATTGCTCTATCACCTGTGGGATGGAGAGCAGGAAGGGCTTGAGCTGGATGTTGGTGTCCAGGACTCTGAGTTGATGGTCTCCCAGGCCTCGGGAGACAGCCAGTGTTCCTAGTAACCGAGCCTGGGGGAAAGGAAGGCATGCACTGACAGTAAGGAGCTGAGACATGCCCAGGGTCTGGCTCTGCTGAGCACAAAAGGGGAAGTGGACGTGGCTTCTAAGGGAGAAACATCATGAGGGAACAGACACCAGGTTAACAGCCACAAGCAAGGGACTTGGAGCTCCCACCTTTAAGGAACAACTAAAGAGGGAATCTTGGGCAGGGGGCACTGACCTGCCTACCCTGTCCGTGAATCAGGGGATACTTGAGGTCAGACTTTTCCACCTGTTTGTAGCTCCTGCAGGAGGGGACCTAGAATTAGCCAAAGGCCCACACCCTACTGCAGCTTCTCCCATCCTCAACCCAGCTACCACACCTTCACATGCCCACCTTGCCCAAGCCGGACTGCCTCAGGCCATCCAGGCGAGCCTGGACCTTTTCCCACCCTGTCTCCCAGCTCACCAGCCGTTCATGTGATGATCCCTGAACAAAACCTTCTGCCCTAAGTCATCCCCCTTCAGCCGCCGTGGAAACTCCAGTCGGGTGAACTCACCAGCCAGAAGCTCAGGGTAGATGAAGGCCTAGGGTGTGGAAGCCAATTTCAGATCAGGCTCCCTTCCCAGGGCCCCGTGTGGGCCTCAGCCCAGGGAGTTGAGGGGTCCCTCTGCCAAGAGTGCCTACCAGCTGCTGGATCCGCTGCCGTTCGGTTTCTGGGGTGAACTCAGAACTCAGCACCCGTATCTCATCTCTCCGCACCAAGATGGCTCTACATGCGTTGGAGGAAGGGAACAGGTCTATGAAACAGCTTCCATACTCACCCATGGCCACCCTCCAACCACCAGGGGTCATGCTGATCCCTCCATGACTGCTTAAGACCTAGAGAGTAAAGGTGCAGCCCTTTAGCATGGCCCCTGTAGCCCCTTCCTGCCTTGGCACCACTGTCCACTCATACTTGGCTTATGCCCAGTACAAATGTATGGTCAGCCAGTCCCCCTCATTTCTAAACATTTCACTGCCTCAGCTCCCTCAGGTACCCTCTTGCCCACTACCCTGCCCCGCCCTCCGTGGTTCCACTCACCTGCTATCCCCAGCATTGGCCACATACAGCTTCCCCTGCAGGGACACAGCCACCAGGGCTGTACAGCCACCCACCTGGCCTGAGGCCTCCAGCTCTCTCCCAATCACATCATCCTGGAGCAAAGCAAGGGCATCACAGCTGCTGCCAGAAGTGTCAGCCATCTCAGTCCCCCACCCCTTATTACAATCACAAATCCCGGCTCAAAAGCTTGGCCAGTAGCCGGGTGGTGGTGGTGCACACCCTTAATCCCAGCATTCAGGAGGCAGAGGCAAGAAGATCTCTGTGAGTTCGAAGCCCACCTGGTCTACAGAGTGAGTTCCAGAACAGCCAAGACCACACAGAGAAACTTGTCTCAGGTGAAAAAAAAGGGCTTGGCTCCTGAATTCCTATGTAAAGAGAATTTACACAAGGGAAGTGTAATTCAAAATAGGAAGAGAAACCAGTGTTTGCTCTGAGGGCCAACAGCACTACAGGTGAGCAATTATCACACAATGGGAACTAGATAAATGGAGAGTTAAGCTGAAGACCACGGTGCTGTAACTAGAAATGAACAAATAAACACAACTTTCTCCCCAGAGTCCAAGGAAGGGTGACTATGGTATGCAGTTATACCCCAAAGGCCTCACTCACACATTCCTGGAAGGCGCTCTCCAAGGCCCCAATCACCAAATCTTCTGCCCGGATGCCCTTTTCCTCCACAAACTGGGGGTCACTGGAGCAGACGCAGCGGCCACTGAGATGCATGGGGGGCTGGGAGGCCAGCAAGCCTTCTACCACAGCCTCCAGCTGCCGGCGCAGGCAGGAATGCAGGGTGTTAGCAGCCAAAATGGCTGCTGCTGGTCCGCCATGCCCATCAAACAGGGCCCAATAATGACCTGTCAGGAACTGCATAGGAAGGACTGTCAGGCTCCACCAAGCACCTCCTGGCCCTAGCCTGAAAGTGAGGTTCAGGGCGGGCAGTACTCACCTCCTCTGGGCACACCGTCAGCCACTCTTCTTCAATCCCAAACTCACATCGCTGGATGCACAGCTTCCCACAAGCAGCCTGGTCCTCATTGAACTCAGATTTCTCAGCATTGATAATCCTGAGGTCATAGACATCACCAGTGGGGTCTCATCTATGCCTCTGTGGTACAGAGACTCCACCGGGGACAATTGCTTCTTGGGTGCCGTCCCTGACACATCTGGACAACTTTCTTTTTTGAAGTTCTTTTTTTTTTTTTTTTTTTTTTTTTTTTGGTTTTTCGAGACAGGGTTTCTCTGTAGCTTTGGAGCCTGTCCTGGAACTAGCTCTTGTAGACCAGGTTGGCCTCGAACTCAGAGATCCCCCTGCCTCTGCCTCCCGAGTGCTGGGATTAAAGGCGTGCGCCACCACCGCCCGGCTTTTTTGAAGTTCTTTTGTGTGACTGTGAGTGTGTGTGCAGAGACCAGAGGTGGCCGCCAAGTGCCTTCCTCTATTGCTCTCCACCCTAGTGTTTTGAGACAGGTCAGTCTCTTACAAAGCCTGGGGCTCACTGATTCAACCAGGCTGCCTAACCAACAAGTCCTGTGTCTTCTTCCAGCATCTACCTCCCCAGTACTGAGATTACCGGGCGCAAACGCCACATGCAGCTTTTTCCAAGGTTGCTGGAGACCCGAACTCGGATCCTCATGCTTGCTCTGCAAGCCAGTTACTTTACACAGCCCCAATGATGTAAGTCTTCTAACTGTTCATTGGCTTTGTCACTAGTGTCAAAATCAGTGCAGGCCCCTTATAGCCACTGGGCAGGTCCAGGGTTGCTGGGGTCTCATCTCTATCCCAACCCTATTCCATAGAACATAGGCCAAACCCAGAGTGAAGTGTGAGGTGGGACATACATCTCAAAAGACCAGAATAAAGGTGGGTCCAGTTGGGTGATGGCCCTCCAGGGACCTACAGCCTTCTCCTAAAGAAAATGCCAGAGTGGGAAATGGAGGAATGTTGTCAAGAGTCCCGTGGTGAGGACAAGAAGGGGGTTAGCGGGAGTGTCCACACTCAAGCCAGTTTTCTAGGTCAGCAGAGAACCCAACGAGATCAAGGACGGGGTCTGGAGGGGACGCGGGGGCAGGGACACTCACTCGGCGTAGCCTGCGTTCCAAGGCAGCGTGCGGCCTCGCGCCGGGCAACGCACGGGCCGGGAGTCCGAGCGGCGCGAGGAGTCGGTGGCACCGGGGCTGGAGCCCGAGCCACGCAGGAAGCGGGGCCGGTGATAGGGTACCGGACTGGAGCGCGGCCCCGGTGGCTGCGGCTCGGGAAGCGGACCCCCGGGTAGAAAGCGGCGCCGGAACCAGCCGGCGGACATTGCGTGGCGGCCGGGGGCTGCCCGCGTAGAGCGGGACGCCCGGGTCCCGCCCGCCCGAGAGAGGAAGCGGGCCTTGGGGCGGAGCCTGGGATGGGGACCACGCCCCCTCCTGGCCCTCCCGCCCCTGTGCGTGCGGCCAGAGAACATCACCATCACCTGTAAGAAGGGAAGGCTTTCGCCCACCCCACTTTACTAGCAGGAAAACTGAGGCCTAGCGAGGTGAAACCGCCTGCCTGAGGCCGAGTGGCACTGAGCAGGTGCGAAGGTTCACCCGCACCCGCGGGACTCGATCCCACTGTGAGGGGAAACCCTTCCCTCTACTCTAGGAACCGTGAAGTCAACTACAGTGGGTGCTGGGCGAGTGCCACACAGAGCCTCAGCCTCGCGCTGCTAGCAATCGCCTGACGCAAGAGGAGGATGGGGACAGCATGTCCTTGGAGGTGTGAGATGGCACATTGACTAAGAGCGTGCCCAGAATGCTCCAGAGTTCTCTTCGTCCTGGTGCTCATTCTCAGAGGCCCACTCCCAAATGGCTGCCCCTGCAGTCAAGATGGCGTCTCTGGACAGCACAAGAGCCTCCCTGGAGTGTGAGTGATGGACAACAGGAACCTATGGGAATTTAAAGGAGAGTGTGGTTCCTTTCTCCAGCCTGTCAAAGGTGCAACCTTGAACTGAGGGAAGTGTAAGAATTTCTCTGACGTCTTTTGTTGCTTTGAGACAGGCTTTCACCATGTAGACCAGGCTAGCCTGGAATTTGTAAACCAGGCTAGCCTCAAACTCTAGGCACTCCTTCTGCCTCTGCCTTCCACGTACTACAATTACGGGCAAGTGCCATCACTCTGGCTCAGAATGTCTCTTAAATTCTAGGTAGCTGTCACTGTTGGGGCTAGCCGCAGTGTTCCCTTTTATGTCTGCACATTAACAGAGCCCTTGTCACTTTCTGTTACCTAAGCCCAGCTGCCCCTCTGCAAGGCTGCAGTTTCCATTTCAGGCCCACAGAGGGGAAGTATTAGATACCCGGGGTTTGCAGTATGACAGTGAAGCGGAGTGGGACCACCCTCAAGGGATTTCTCTTCCTCTTTTCTCCTCCAGGAAGCCAATTCAAAAAATCTCTTAAGGGCCAAGGGTGGATGGATGAGACATTCCCTCCCTCCCTTTGTCACTATCCCTGAACAGGCCATCGCCCAGTAGGCCTCACTTCCTTCAGCCAGCCAGCCCTGCTCTGCTGGCATGTCCTCCTTACCCAGGGAGAGGAGGGGGGTCTTAGGAAACAGAGCTGCACCCCAGTAACTTGGGGGAGCTAACCTACTGAGCCCACCGAGTAACAGCCACACACACTCAGGGCATACGAACACGGAGCTAACGCTGAGCCCTGAGGATGGGTAGGGTTCTGTTAGGTGGTGTCTGATCCAGGTATGAATAGAGACAAAGTCAGAAAGTTACAGCCAGACACCCTCCCCCACCTTACCCCACTGCTTCCGATAAAAGAGATGGATACATTAGATGATTTCGTCCATACCAGTTGCCTTAGTTTCTTTACTTCTTGCTGTAACAAAGTATCTGTAAAAAGCAACTACAGGAAGGATAATCTATTTTGGGTAATCAGGAATCTGAGGCAACTGGTCACAGTGTGTCTGTCACCAGGAAGAGGGGGACTCTTCCCTAGTTATTCAGACCCCAGCCCACAGGATGCTGCCCGCATTCAGGGTGGGGCTTCCCTCCTGATTGAACTGTCCTGGAAATGCCCTCATAGACTAGCTCAAAGGTTCCCCTCCTAGATAATTATTTTGACACTCAAGATCAGGCATCACACTGTCTTATATACACTTCCACAGCCTGCTTCCCCATCCTTGGCAATCACAACTCTTATCAAAGTTTTAAAACCTTTGCCTACAGGAAAATAAAATTCCAGATACAGGGGGCTGGAGAGATGGCTCAGTGGTTAAGGGGTTGCTCTTCCAGAGGATATGTGTTCAGTTCCCAGCACCCACATGGCAGCTCACAACTGTCTGTAACTCCGGTTCCAGAGAATCTGACACCCTCACACAGACATACATGCAGGCAAAATACCAAATCACATAAAATACAAATAAATAAATTATAAAGAAGTTTCAAATACAGTTCAGTTTTCATTTATTTTACAGTTTTTCTGACTCCTTGCTGTTTGTTGATATGGTCCCATGTCACCCAGGCTGTCCAGGAACTCACTATGTAGCCCAGGCTAACCTTGAATCTTTTTCTTTTTCCTTTCTTTTCATTCATTCATTCATTTTTGAGAAAGAATCTAGCCATGTAGCCCTGGCTGGCCTGGAACATAAGGATGGCCTTGAGTTCAAAGAGATCCACTTGTTTTTGTCTCTCTAGTGCTGGGATTACAGTTGTTTGCCACCACACTTGGTTTGTGTAGTGCTGGGGACCAAACCTAGGGATTCATGCATGTTAGAAAAGTACTCTGTTGGCTGAGTCACATCCCCAGCCCTAGGATGCTGTTTAAAAGTTATTGCTTGTGTTTTCTCATAGACTTGCCATTTCTTTTTTGTTTATGTGTGTGGTATATACACCATATATATGTGTGTGTTCGGGTGCAATGTGAAAACCAGTGGTGGACATCAGCCACCCGCCTCTATGGCTCCCCATCTTACTGTTTTAGATTCTCTTATAAACTTGGAGCTCTCCATTTAGCTGGGCTGGCAAATGAGCTCCAGGTAGGTACTGGCCTGTCTCCTCCAACTCCCTCTCCTCCAATGCCCCATGGTCTTCCCGCCCAGTCCTGGGGGTAAGGAGGTAAAGTCAAGCTTTTTCACTATGGTGCTGGCTGGGAATCTGAATTTATATGCTTGCCATCTCTCCAGTTCCCGACTATTAATTCATCTAACTTTGGTTTTTTTTTTAAAAGTTTTTATTTCAAATTTATTTTAATATTTTTTTAATGTCTGAGTGTTTCGCCAGCATGTATCTCTGCACATCTGTGCCTAGTTCTAGGAGATCAGAAGGAGCTGGAGTTACAGACAATTGTGAGTTGTTATGTCACGTGGGTGCCGGGAACCAAACTTGGGTCCAATGCAACAGCAGCAGCTAGTGCTCTTAACCAGCGAGCCATCAATTTTTAAATAACAATCCTCAGGGCTGGAGAGATGGTTGAATGGTTAAGAGTACTAGCTGCTGGGGCTGGAGAGATGGTTCAGCGGCTAAGAGCATTCCAAGTTCTTCCAGAGGTCCTGAGTCCCGAGTTCAATTCCCAGCAACTAACTACATCGTGGCTCACAACCATCTCTAGCAGAATCTGATGCCCTCTTCTGGCATAAAGTTGTACATGCCCATTGAGAACTCATATACATTAAATAAATAAATCTTTATTTTAAAAAATTAAGAGTACTAACTGCTAAATGTTAGTAATAGCAGCAGAAAAAGCCTCTGATCATGGAGACAAGTTCATTAAGAATTGGGAAGTGTCTCAGACTAAGTTCCGGTCCTTAGAACTGCTGGGCCTTTCCACACGCGCCTTTGTTTGGGAAAACTTTCCTCTACTCTCCACTCTACTAGGTCACCCCGGTCTCTCCTACAGTATTCCATCCACAGTTCACCTTCTCCTACGGTTCCTCACTTTCTCAGCGTATGGCTCCAGCCACCACATACACCATGCACCAGATCGTCAGTCCACCTGTGAAGAAAGGCCTGGGGACCAAGAGCCCCCTACACACACACACACACACACACACACACACACCCCAAGAGCCCCCTACACACACACACACACACACACCAAGAGCCCCCTACACACACACACACACACACACACACACACACACACACAAGCGCGCATGCCCACCTATACTGAGAGCCCCTCACGTGTCACAAACTAGGGTACGCCTGGGTCGGCTCCCACTCTCAAACCTCCTCCGAGGCAAATACAGTCCCTCCCACGCCCAAGCGCGGATCCGCCCACAAGACTCCTGGAATTTGGCCGACCGGCGCCCGCCCACACACCCCTCCGGCACCCGCAGGCCCCTTCTGTGTCACCGAGAGGGTAGCAGCGAAGCACTCGGCCATCCGAACCCTGGCGGCCCGCTGCGCGCACGCGCGGCACTAGTGCCCGCCTCTGCCGGCCTCGCCCTCCGGGGGCGGGGCGCGCTGGGGGCGGGTCCTGCGGCACCGCCCGGGAAGCTGAGCGAAGCTGGGTGCTACCGCCACATCCTCCGGAGCTCTGGGTACAGGCGAGCCGAGTCGAGCCGGGCCAGGACCAAGCGGAGCGGTCCGACGGCACGAGCGAGCCGAACGCTGAGCCATGGCGCACCAGACTGGCATCCATGGTGAGGGCGGATGGAGGGCGGACAGGGGGCCCAAGGGCTCTGCCGCGCCTGGTCTGCGCGCTTGGTCCCTTCATCCTCCTCTTCCTCGCACCCTCCAGGGAAGCTTCCTGTTCTCTTTTGCAGCCGCGAGTCACATCTTGGGGGAGTACAGACTGCTGTACGTGGCCGGGAGTGGGTGCACACAGCAAGGGTGGAAGTATCTTGTGTACTCATCTGGGGGCGGATGTGCCTATATGTACCCATCTGGGTATTTTTGTTCTTTTCTGAAGGTGGGGTGTACCCGGATGTGCACATCTGGAAAAGTGCACACGCATGTGCACATGTCCTCTGTATACAGTCCTGTGTGTGCACATTTGGATGCGACTTGGTTATGTCGACCCAGGCTCCTTCGTGTGCATGCACTAGTAGCTGGTTTTGGACACCGTAGGTGGCATGGACCATCTCAGACATAAGTGTTTCCTGGCAGCATGTACACATCTATGGGTGTCTGCATGTATGCACAGTTCAGGCACATCTAAGTGTGTGTGTGCTACTGTGGATGCTTGTCCGGGTGTCTTATGACCATGGACTTGGGTATATGTGTGGAGAGAGTATCCTGACCTTTACTCCTTCCAGGACCCCCATACTCTTGCACCAGGCTGGACAAAAGCTGGCATAGAGCCGTCCTTCTTAAGTAGAATGGGGAGAGTTGCACATGTGACCTTGGCCTCTGACTTCTTCCGTTTTCCACTGTGATCTGCTCCAGCCAGGACTGCAAAAGTCTC